CCGGCCACGCGCCGTGGCTTGTGTCTGCGGGGGGGGTCCGGGTGGAACCGGCAGGCCCGTGTCCCAAGGGTCCGGTTAACACCCGGCTGTGTCCAGACGAGCCGCTTTTCCGGAAAACCTGCCAGCTGCCTACACGGCCGCCTGGATTTCCGCAAGAGCACGGACTCCCCACTGTCTGAATGGGGCTTCCTGCGGGAATGCCGGCTGCTCCCTTCGGCAAAGGCCCCTTTGCGCAAAGCTTTGATTTGGTTTCCACAAAAAAGCCCCGATGGCGAAAATGGCGATTGGGGCTTTTTTGCAGAAAAGCGCGTCTAGATTGGCCATGGACGCTTTCCACAAAAAGTGCTTTTGCGGAAAAGTGCCCTGCCAGTCTAGACGCTCCGTTCCGAAAATACTTTTAACGAAAAACTTTTCTGTTAAAAGCATTTCCGGAAAACATGCCAATCTAGACGCAGCCATGGAGACAATGGGAGTGTCGGGTATTTTCTAAATCCGATGCAATGTAGATTGTGATGCAATGTCACATGTGTCCAGTAGTTTTGTTGAACTCATCTGGCAACCCTACGTGGGGGGGTGGGCGGGTTAGAATAAAAAAGTTGAGAACCACATTAAACCATAGCAAGCGTAGGGCTACGGTAGCCCAGCTCCTTACGTGGCCAGGTCCACATACCAAATATTTTAATTACATGACAAACCATTTCAACTCTGCCCTCCTTTTAAAGTTATGCTACTAGGTTCAACCATCTCATAAATGGACATTTCCTTTTAAGATATGGAAGAAGGTGGTTTGTGACTTCTTGCAGCTAGATTTATGAATGAAGAAATTACATGCTACTCCCCATTGCTGAGGTTCTCCCCACCCCCAAGCTGTGTTTCAATTCCAATAAAAGTCTTCATTTCTCCTGTCAAGCATTTCAGTTTGCTTCTCTGTTCTTGAGAAAATGAATTGTGCCTTGGAGATACAAGAAAACAGTTAAGTTCATGACAGTCTAACAATAATATCAATGCAATCAAGATCAATTGATTTTTCCAACATTTTCTCATGCAAACTTTTTTTTTTTTTATGTAATAGAGAAGACATAATTGGACACTGTAGAGGGATCAGAGAAGCCACCACTCAGGTACAGTTTTATCCAAGACTTGAAAACTGTCATTTTAATACAATTACTGCCCTAAAAAGAACCTGCTGTAAATGAAGTGTATCTACTAGATTAACAGATCAGTAAATGGTATCACACTACATGCATGAGCTGAGATAGTGGCAGCACCTAGAATAATCACACCACTTCTTCCATAACAGTTTACAGAAATACCATTTGGAGTTGAGCATTACACAATTGAGGGGGTCAGTCTAGAACAGGGTTTCCCAGCCTATGGGTCAGGACCCAAATATGGGTCTCCATTACATTTCAAAAGGGTTGCCAAGTGTCTCTGTCCTCCTCCATTTTTTAATTGCCTTGGGTCACCAAGTCTTTCTGATTGTCAAAATGGGTCCCCAGTTACGAAAGGTTGGGAACCGCTGGTCTAGAACAAGGGCAGGCAAAATTCGGCCCACAGCCTGGCCCACCAAACCACCGCATCTGGCTGCCACCGTCTCACAATTCAGTGGGAGCCTTGGGGAGGCTCCCTGCCTGCTGTTTCCCTGCACACCGCTCACAGCAGCTGGTTGTGGGGGCCATGTGCTCTTTGCATGCTGTCCCCACCCCCAGCACAATCTCACAGGTCCCATTGGCTGCAAACCAGCCAATGGGAGCTGCCTGGGCCATGCTTGTGGCATAGGCAACACCCTGTCTCCCAAAGGATGCACAGCTTACAAAGAGCATATTGCCCCCACAGCCAGGGGCTTTGAGTGGCATGTGGGGACATGGTCTGCAGGGAGCCTGCTAGAGTCCCCCAGTGGGTTGCTGGCCTGGAGCCACCTAAGATAAGTGCCTGTCAGTTAGCACCTGCACTGGACACCCCCTCTCTACTACATCCCAATTCAATGCCCCAGGTCATAATCCACCCTCTGTACCCTTGTCCCAGATCACAATTTTCTCTTGTACCCATCCTTGCTCCTGGACTCTGCACTCCATTTTCCTACCTTGAGCTCTCTTCTGTACCCAACCGCTATAGCAGACTCTACCCCTCTTTCGTTAATCTCATGGAAGAGTACAGCCCTTGACCACTTACCAAATTCTTAGGTGTGCTCCCCCCTCAAAATTATTGTCCACCACTGACCCAGAAACAAAGTTCCATGTTTGAATGGTGTTAGGACATAGGTATTCAGGCCTATTTATTCTACCAGTGAAATACACAGAGACGTTTTGGAATTACAGTTCATCTGCAAGTTCAGTTCTCATGCTAATGGGCTCAATTGGGACGAGGGAGGGCTGGGTCATTACCAACCAAACATTCAATGAAGGTGCAAACAGCTCTTTAGGTAGATTTTTTGTGTTAGTATCCCCCCCTACTGACTTTGATCCTTATCTGCTTTATTTTAACTATCCAATCTCCAGGTAATTACTGATTGCCTATTCTGCCTTCCTGTTTTTCCCTTTGATTTTTTCATAACCTCTGCTCCTTGTTTCCTACCCTCCCCCACCTTTCTTTTTTTCCTTCCCCCTTATTTATTTTGGGTCTGCACATCCTAAACTCAAAACTCTGGTTATCTGAAGAAGTGGCCTGTACCCACAAAAGCTCATGATACCATCTACAGGTTTTGTTAGTCTGTAAAGTGTTACCAGACCAGTTTTTAAGTATAAATATACAATGTAAGACAGAATTGGTGCAAGAGGAGTTTCAAGTAAACAAAATTAATTTTAATCACATATCAAGACGTAAATGAATTTCCAGTGTTCCACAATTATAGTTGTCAGATTCACATTCTTGTAAAACAAAAATCCTCCTCCCCAACTCCCAAATTATTCCAAGATTCAAGGCATGGATATTTCAACTGTTGACCCAACAAAGCTAAGAAAAGTCTTCAGAGAATGTGTGTGCTTCTATTTCAGTTTATACCATTTACAAAATTATAGAAATCAAGGTCCAAATCCAAGAAAAGTGCACTTGTGGGTTTCTGTACCACATGTGAAATCAATAGGAATCCAATGAGTCTACCTGTCCCATGATCCTTGCCAGATCTACTTATAAATTTAGTACCTTGCTCTTCATTTATATGAAGTCAAAAAGATCAGATTGTTAAAGAGTAAGTTATCCTATGAAAAGAGCATGTATGTTCAAAACTACATAAACTGTTTTACTTTTGCCTGGCTTCACCAGAATACTTCTGAAATGTTAGGAAAGTAGTGACAGTGAAAGGGAAATAGCACATTCTTAAATCCCAGTGAGATTGTTAACTTGAGCCATTAGAGATGCTATAAATATACAAACTGTAAACTGAGTAAGAATGCAATAGAACCCTTTGGTAGTGCCAGGACTTGTTCCATACCTGTGACTTACAAGAGTCTGTCCAAAAAGTTAAATTATGTTTCAAGACCGCAGTCTTGGACTCAGAAGTGTTTTTACTTGCACTCAAGAATTAAAACTTATAAATTAAAATCTCAACATTTTCTTTGGTAGGAACCTGTTTACCCACTGCCAACTCTAATTGCTTTCCAGCTGTTGAATCTTTGCTGACACTATTAGATGCTTAATATTGCGATTTTACTACTGAGGCTTTTTCCAAAATTTCAATATGGAATTAGGTATTTTAGGCACAACTGCTTAAGTTCTCCTCTGAAAAGTAATTTCAAGAGTGGTTTTGTGGACTTCCCTATTTGTTTCTCATTGACCTCTAGATCAAATCCATTGTACAAATATCCCTTTTACCTAAAATCAAAGTCAAGATTGGTGTGGTATTCAGAAACAACCTAAGCTATTACAGTTACAACAAGGTTAAACAATGTTGTTAATTTACAAGCAAGAACAGGACCCAGCTCGTGTCTCTGCTACATTAGTATTTGCAGAGTCAATAACAGAAGTGACAGGCAATAACTTATTTTAGTATGTAAGTGACATCTATCCAAGGAGTGGCTGTAATGAATCATGTCATTTCTATACATTCAGTTTTCAGAAGAGAACCACTCTTTTAAAGTTTGTGTCCAAAACATAGTATCGTAACATTAAGATCAGTTCTATAATTGATAGCCAAAGTAGTTCTTACTGAGGAGGAAAGAAGACATGCTCACATCAACAAAGTAGGAGTTTTATTTGCAATATTTAACCTAGGAGGTGGGTTTCATTTAAGATATGACTTTATTAAAAATACAAGATATGACAAATCAGAACAATTATTATAATGTACAAATTCAATAGCTGTAGCAGTTTTTTGTATTTTTATTGGAATCCTTAAAAAAGGGGGGAGGGAGAGACAGCCCTTTAGACCATTTTATTTTCTATTCACTTAAAACAAGATCTAACAAGGACAATTGAGTTTTACATCTTGTACGTGTGTACACAGCACAATGCATTTACAGTCCCATCGTGCACACTAGGCAATAACTTTGCTGCTGAAATTTCTTTAAACTTACCAAACAAAAACCTGAATGATATAATGGGATCAAAATAGTTCCGATTATGATTTTTTTTTGTAAAGGGAAAAATGTCTCACCTGAAAACAGAACTATACAAGAACTATGTGCAGCAGAATACATGTCAGACATTTCACAAGCACTCTCAAATGAGGGAGGGAGGGCACATGGAGGGGGAGGAGGAAGTCTAGACACACTGCTACAGACACCATAATACACAATACATTTAGATAATTTAAAAATAAAAAAAAGGCAAGAGGCAGCATTTCAGCAGCAAAGTGCTCAATAAAAAGGATATAGAGGGATAGTACAAGGGAATGGGGGAACAGTAGGAGGGGAAAAGATCTCAAAGGAAATATGGTGTTGTTGTTCTAGGAGGAATTACACGTTCTGAGTCTGGAACTGCACGGAACAACTTTGGTTCTCTTGTATTTACATCTTTAAAGACCATGATTGATGCAATATTTCCACAACGGTAACAGTAATTTGGAGCAGACCATACTGTTACCAGCTTCTCATCAAACATGAATTTATAGCCTTCATGTACTAGCTGATGTGCTCTGCAGATGAGTTTTAAGTTGTTGATATGAACAAACTGTAAATTTAAAGAAAAACATTTATAGTAAATAGTTATACTTAATACTTAACTGTTCTATATCCCCTAAAATGTTGCTCTGTCTCAAGATTACAATATTTTACTCAAGGAGAAGAGGTCTGCTAGGCAAATCTGCAAAGTCTTCTACGGGATCGCCACTAAGTTGAACTGCAGATGAGATACTATTTATTTCAGACCCCTGACTTTTCCCTCAAACTCCTGAGACCTACCAAATTGAGATACAGGTTGAACCTCTCTAGTCCGGCATCCTCAGGAGCCAGAGAATTTGCCAAACCACAAGAGGTTAATATTGCCTGGCAGCATTACCAACACTTTCAATGTCTTCTAAGAGCCCAGCAAGCAGTGGGAGGTAAATTAGAGCTAAACAGCAGCACAGAACACAGAGCCAGGACTGGTGGCTGTAAAACTTTATGGGACTGTGGGAAACTTGGCCATACCCCTGTTGACAGACCAGAGAGAGGTGCAGCCTATAGGCTTTTTTCCCCTCTGCAAAAAATACTAATCATGCTGCAGCTTAGAAACCAGTTAACCAGTCTGAAATGCGTTCGTACTACCAGTGGCACTATAAATGGACATGGAGATTAAGGATGTTAAAAGGCAGGTAATTGACTAAATGAATACTCGATATTTGTAGGTTCTGGTGTGCAAGGGGAATGTGGGGAGTGTCTCTATCCTTCTCAGTCAGGGGCCACATCAGTGAGGGTTTTGTTGGGTTTTTTTGCTTCTCGCTTGTGTGCAGACCCCAACTGATTTTTCTGTGAATGGACTGTCCCTGACCAAAAAAAGGTTCCCTACCGCTGCTCTAATGGCACAACAGAAGTATGAAGCTTAAAGCTAAGCAATGTTTTAGTTTATCTGCTCCCTCAATTTTACATTCTCTATTATGGTGGCTTTACCTCATTTGTGACCTTTGCGCCAAACAGCCAGCCCGCTCCTCGGGGACTAATTGCCCAGGTATCAACATCTTCTGGGTCAGACCAGACAAGGTCACAAAAAGCTCCTTTGTGAGGAATTTCTTGATTGCGTTCAATGGTTCGAATTTGATCCAGTGTCTTGATGTCAGGAGATAGGCCACCGTGTACACAGAGAATCTGCTCATCTATTAACTAGGAGAAAGAATAGAACCATAGAAAAGCAGAGCTGGAAGGGACCTCAAGAAGTCATCTAGTTCACTCATCCATGTCGAGGCAGGACTAAGCATACTGAGCCATACCTGACATATGCCAGGAGAGGCCTCACCAGTGCCAAGCAGAGCAAAGCAATGCCTGTAACTTACATACAACACTCCTGCTAGAATTCTGGGGTGCTGTAGCCTTTCACCACCAGCAATGTGCCACATTGCTGATTCATTCAATTTGTGATCCACTATCACCTCCAGATCTTTTCCAAGAATATGACTACCTAGTCATTTGGTAGTTCTACATCTGATTTTTTTCTTTCTTTGAGTACTTGCACTAGTCTTTACTGCAATTCATCTTGTTGAATCCAGCAATTCAATAATTTGTCCAGATCATTTTGAATTATGATCCTGTCCTGCAGTCGCTTATACCCATCCCATCTTGGTGTTGTCTGCAAGTTACAGAATCGCACACATCACGATTCAAATCACTAATGAAATCATTGACTGCACCTAGGACAGACCCTCTCTCTCCCCCCACTCCATCACTCTAAATAGATTTCTCCCTTTTGACAGCAAGCCACTGATAACTACTCTGAGGACAGTATTTCAAGCAGTTGTATGCGCACCTTGTAGTAATTTCTTCTAGGCCATATTTCCCTAGTCTGCTTATGAGAATGTTATGCAGGATTGTATGAAAAAACACCTAAAAGTTAAGATATATCAGTTCTCCCCATCCACTAGTCCAGGATTCATGTAAAACCTGAGATATTTTTACTTTTTAATTTCAATCTGTCTCTAGATACAGGGTGTCCCCGCTATATGTCCAAAATACATTAAAAAAAAGTGTGGACTTCTGTTTGCATGAATTGGTCTTCTTTTGCATGACATGTCCCCGCTATATGTCCAAAATACATTACAAAAAAGTGTGGACTTCCGTTTGCATGAATTGGTCTTCTTTTGCACGACAGGAAGTGCAGGCAACGGGAGGACTTAAAACAAAACAGTTCCCACAAGCGTCAACGACACTAGTGTGGAACCAATGTATATCATGTTGACTTACAGCGGGGACTCCCTGTACCACAAACATGACAATTAAGGGCAATTTAGATGTGTGCCTAGTGAAATAATAATGCAAAACAATCGGCTTTAGATATTTTTAAAGCAAGTTTAAAACTTACAGCGGCTACTGTGAGCATATCAAAGACTTTGGTACAGTATCTCCAGGCATTTGCATTTCCGTATTTGGTTTGGCACTCGTCTGTTAAATAGAAAAAAAGATGTTATTGTTTGACATTTTTTCCTTGATTTTGTTGAGGAACCCCCCCCCCCCAAATGTTGACACTAAAACTTGAAATCTCATAAATAAATGAACAAAAAATAAACTGGTCCGTCAGATGGGAGCACTCACTAGTTCAATGAGAGAGGATTTTTCTTATGACCATCTGACCTCTCCATTGGCAGCCGTCTTCTCGTTTCTTGCACACTCGAGCATTATTTTTGCACAGGTTTCCTCCCATCTCAAGGTGACTAAAGGTGTAGCCTCCATCAGAAGTTTCCTATGCCCCATCCACAACTCAAATCTCTATTTAATTCACCATGAACAAGTCCTTGGTTGAATTCTTGTTCAATGAAAATAAATCAGATGCTACTGGGATGACTAAATAGGCCAGATGCTCTTATCACAGTAGCTTTCTTTGGTTTAGAAATCAATATGCTCCAAACGATGTTACAGGAATTAATAAAAGCACATTAAGCCATTAAGGAGACCGAACAGACAAATCTTAAGGATTGTTTTTAAAATAAAAGACGTTATTTCCACAAGAGATCCACCTCTCATAACTGACCTCTCCTACTACCCGAAAGCAGCCACAGTGGTGTAGCCTGGTCCTATCTATACAGGCAGAGCCAAACCATGCCTTACATTTTTGGATCAAAGAGGGGGAGCCTCAGTTACTAAGTTCTAATAGATCTGGATAACTCGGACCTAGCAAGGAAGGATTCCTTAGACATAACGGATTAAAATGAATACCCATTTCTCCTCAGAAGCAAATCCATTTGTGATTACATATCACTTGGGGCACGTATTGGATTTTGGAGGATTCCTCAGGTCTTGTCAAAGCTTTGGAACTACAATTAAGTTTTCAGGTAAACTCACTCAATTTATATTGTCTGCACTACTGCCCAATACTAATCACATGTTCATTCAATACTATTGTCACATCTACTGCACCAGTCGTGACTTACCAGATAAGCCATCTTTGTTACCAAACTGATAGGATTAGAATTAAAATTTATTACGAGCCAAACAGCAAATTCTCAATATTTTGTTCTTCTACAGCACTTCATCAGAAAATACAAAAGGACTTCAAATAGTAAAAGCTCAACTCCCATATCAAGCCCCTTATACAAATTTCACAGATAAGAAATTTGAGGCACAAAGGTTATACTGCAAGTCAGTGTCAGACGCTATGTCTAAACTACAGGGTTTTGTTTGTTTGTTTTTTTAAAGTGGCCTTTTTTTAGAAAAATCTTCACCTGCGTCTAGACTGCCACCACGTTCTTTCGAAATTAAATCGAAAGAACGTGGCTTTTTTCAACAGCGGTAAACCTCATTTTACAAGGAAGAACGCCTTTTTTCGAAAGAGCTCTTTTGAAAAAAGGCGTTCTTGGCTACAAACAGGGCTTTTTCGAAAAAGTTGTGGCTATCTAGACGATCTTTTTCCGGGCTTTTTCGAAAAAGTTGTGGCTGTCTAGACTATCTCTTTCCAAAAAAGCTTTTTCAAAAGATTCTTTCGAAAGAGGCTTGTAGTCTAGACGTACCCAGAGAGAGAACTAGAATTCCATCCAAATTAGAGCACAGTCCATTTCAAGACTGCAATTACTGTAGCATAGAATGGGGAATGTTCTTTTACTATTTGGCAGTGTATAAATTCAGATTGGCGTACAGTCCTGATTAATCCTATTTCTCAATCCACTTGGCCTCTTAATTGCGTATGCTTTGTATTCACAATTAAAATTGCCCAAAGAAAGGACAGAATGAGCTCACTGCATTTTTGTGACATTAACCACAGCTCAGCAACCGTTTATAACGACTTACCATAAAATCCATATACTTGTGTTATCTGCCTGCTCTCATGATTCCCTCGCAAGAGTGTGATACGATCAGGCCATTTAGCTTTTAGTGCAAGAAGGTAGGTGAAAGTCTCCAGACTATAGTAACCTCTGTCTACAAAGTCACCCTGAAAATTTAAAATATATGGAAGAATAGTTTCAGGAGTGCAAACAGTAGTATCTCTATTTATAATTCTTTAATTTGCAGACGCCCATAAAGCACCATTGCTAAAAAATTCTGAGAACATCTTAAAGAAATGTTTAACTGGATATCTGAAATTTTACATTTTAAAAAAATTAACTATTGTTTTTGTGATTCTTATGTTCCCATTCATCCAAGAAATGTTTCAGGGTGTTCTTTTTAGCTCCTCATATTTAACTTTCCCTCTACTGCCAATGTAAGCTAGAGCTTTTAGATAGTAGGCTTTAAAAAAAAATGTATTTCCTTTTGTGTGAACCAGCATTACCTATTTCAAATTTTAATGGACAAAATAAAAGCCACACACATTAGCCAAGTGGAAGAGTAAATTTGGGAGTGAAAAGAAGTTTACATGCCAGAGAGTTAAAAATGGAAACTGAAAACTAGCAATGTAAAATCCTGGTTAATCAGTTAACTGGTTAAACATTACATTTAACTGGTTAAACGGGATCCCACGGTTGGGCTGGAGCAGCAGCCTTGCTCGCAGCATGGCAGGGCCCAGCTTTCCACAGTACGAGCTGCTCTGATGAGGCTGGAAAGGCCCCTGCCCAGGGTGTGGTGGGCCTGGCCACCAGTTAACCAGTAAGACACACTCAGTAAGGGTGATGCTTGCTGGTTAACTGGTGACATCCCTACTAAAAACAAAAACCAAAAGAAAGTTGAGGGTTTTGTTTTTTTAATCGGTGTAATTGTACAGGTGCTTTCCTTACACTTTTTTGAATGACCAACATCCAATATGTACATACCATAAATATGTAGTTTGTGTCAGGAACCTGACCTCCAGTTCTGAACAGTTCACACAAGTCATAAAACTGGGGGAAAAAAAGGTTTAAACATTAAGGCTTCTGTTATCATTGTTAGCTAAGAGTGTATTAGTACAATTAATTGGAATGTACCTAGGTTTAGGCAGAAATAATCTTTATTTTTAAAAAAAATAGATAAAAATAGGTCTAAACAAGTTCCACTGTACAATTATGGGCTGAAGGGACATATTTCCCATTCATCCTCCTGGTGTTAAAAATCCACATTAACTGCCAAATTAAGAGAGCAGCTGCACACTGTGCTAATCCTGGATTCAATCCTGCAACCCCTTTGCATAAACATGCATCAGCTTCAAATGGGAGTTCCCTCCTCCTGGGACGAGGTCCCTATTAGCACTGAATAGTTCAGCAACTGCAGTCTAAGTAACAGCAGTTCACAGATGATCACTGAAAGTGAGGATCGTTCTGCAGCTCTTCTTATTCTGTGAGGTTGGCCTCCCAAAAGTACACTACGGGAAAATTATAAACAGTAGGTTTTCCTTCCACTGTGCAAAAGCAGTGCACACAGAATATTGCAAATTATTGAACGTTCAGTAGTTAGTTCTGCTTCCCCAACCACATATTTAAAATACTCCTCACCCATCTACCTTTCTAAAAATGTTTGCAAGTGACAGACTGCTCTTCTCTAGGAATATAACATGCAAGCAGTTGCGCCACTTTACCTGTCCATGTATGTCTCCACAAACTGTAACTGGCGTAGATACTGGCTGTACATTTGACTCTTCAAGCAGCAGGTCACACACATAATCACATAAGCGCTACAGAAAAAGAAGTTTGCACTGATCAGGCTGAGGTTTTTGTGCATTGTAATATCAAGAAATAACAGATTTATAAATTATTTGCTTTAGAATGTATTCAAGTCTCTAGACACCATGATCATGATCAAATGAATTGGGATCAATGTTCCCTCTAATTTTTTCTATCTATGTGTGGATTTTTTTCATTAATGTGCAGAATAAAATTTGTATGGGCTCCCAGGCATGTGCAAATTTAACATCCCTTAGTGCACAGCACATGTAATTGACATGTGTAACCACTGAAATGTTCAGTGGTTACACACAGGGCAGCAGCCAGCGCGCCAGGAGGCGGCATAGGGTGGTAGGTGGCTCTCTGGGAGTTGACTTAAGCCGCTCCCTGCGCATACCTGTTCCCCCCACCACCCTATGCTGCTGTCTCTGATAGAGGCAGCAGTGCAGGGCAGCAAGCAGCTCCCCAGAATCCAGACTGGGAGCTATGTGCAGTCATTTGGATTACCTGTTAAAACACATACACTCTTACAATCTTAATGTGCACCACTGATAGAAACAAAACCTAGGCATGAGCGCTCTGCTAGTCAGCTGGGCAACATATTAATCACCCCTGAGCAGATGCACATGCACATCATACAGGGAACACTGCTTGGGATGATAATAAATATGTAAGAAAATCCGTTACTAGCTAAACATTTTTTTAAAATTAAGTGTGTCTCAATGAATAGAGCAACAGTTCACAGAATGAGTGCATCTTAGGTTATTTAAATGCTATATTAAATTCAAATTTTAGAGCAAAACTGCAAAGTCAGATTGCCACTTTATTTCATGTTTATTTTATCAATGGTTTCTGTATTAGATATGCTCAGCTAACAAGGAAAAAAGTTAATTTCCATCTGCAAAACTGCAAAACCTAAAACTCATCCTGAGATCAGAGACTCAAACTGGATTCTTTCCTGCTCACTCACCGATCAATAACTAAAGTCTCACTTACGCCTGTGCAACCCCATGAACAGTGCCATGTTCTTCACAGGTGGTTCACAGGTATAGCTCACTAAAACTTAGAAAACAATTCCACTGATGATGTACAAAAAAGAAAAGAATCCCCCTCACACATTCAGGCATGCTGACTCCACTAACTTGCTTATTTTTGCAGGACTCTCAATATACAATGATTAATGGATCAGTTCACTTTTAATGGTCTCCCGCAGTGTTTATCTACTACTTATGTTAAACAAGCTGTTCCCACCTACTTGTTAACTGTGACACTGTGGGCTTGTAGGCATTACCACTGGTGTTGGTATAATTTGTGTCGCTGGGGGTATGAACAACATGTGATATAAGTTACACTGTAAGATGTACTTAGGTTTAAGTACCCATTCTCCAGATACTTAATGATGCTCTGTGTCACACACCCTTCCCTTTTTCTTTTTTTCTCCCCCCCCCTCCTATTTATTTCAAGTTTTCATATCCCCTACTCATAACTCCAGTCATCTGAAGAAGTGGGCTGTGCCCACGAAAGCTCATGATACCATCTACATGTTTTGTTAGTCTATAAAGTGCTACCAGACCATTTGTTGTTTTTTTCTGTAACAGACTAACTCAGCTACCCCCTGAAGCTCTTGTAAGCACCAGTGTGGTTTTATTATGCCACCTCTCCCATTAACATCACAGTATCCTCACCAGAGGTACTACAGTTGCATAGCTGCAATAGTGCAGCTATCCCATTGTAGAGATTTTAGTAGCCCTCTGAGTATTTTTCCCAGATCTGAAGAAAAAAAAAAGCATCTGCAGAACAAAAACTACTGTCTTTTACCATAATAACAGCCCTACTGGGTCAAACCAAAGGTTCATTTAGCCCACTATCACATCTTCTGACTACAGCCAGTGGCCAGGTGAATTCAGTGGGAACAGACAGTAACATAATCATCTGAAAAAGTGGGTTGTGCCCACAAAAGCTCATGCTACCATCTACAGGTTTTGTTAGTCTATAAAGTGCTGCAAGACTATTTGTTAAGTTTACTCATAATCATTGAACAATCCATCTCCTGTTGTTCATTCCCAGTTTCTGGCAAACAGAGGCTAAGGGCACCATTCCTGACTACCCTGGCTAACAGCCATTGATGGACCTGTCCTCCTAAACTTTGAACCATTATCACCTTCGCCTGCACAACACCCTCTGGCAAGGAGTTCCACAGGTTGTGTATAAAAATACTCCCTTTTGTCTTAAACCTGCTGCCTATCAGTTCCTGTGGTGGCCGCTGGTTCTTGCCTGGGAGTAAGTGACGCTTCCCTGGGGGCTCCGCTGTCTCAGTTCCTGTGGTGGCCGCTGGTTCTTGCCTGGGAGTAAGTGACGCTTCCCTGGGGGCTCTGCTGTCAGTCCGGCGGTGCAGACTCGGGGTCCCGCAGCGCGTTCCCAAGGT